GGGGTCCATCGTTGGTGTTGGACCAGGTCAATAGCAGACTTTGTACTGAGGTAAGTTGTGTATCAATACAGCCGGGGTAGAAGTCATTCACCTGTTCAATCCATCGGTTCGTTCCTATCGCTGGGAATGACCCCTTCCATGACCCCGTGGTTAGAACCAGTAACCTTGACACTGTCTTATTCCTTCCCCAGGTATCTTACCCCGAACTGGGAACACCCACTAGCAATTTTGGTTTGGAAATCACGCACGGTCTATTAACTCTATCTATCAATCAAATCCACACACACACACACATAACTAAAATGTTATGCACATTTAACATACCTTTCCCCTGTTTACAAAACCGCATTTGCCAGAGAATGATGTTTTTGAACACCCGCGTATTCGCTAGTTGGTCTGATCTCAAATGTTACAATGGACACTTTCAGGAAGCTAATTTCGATTTATTTCATTAATATTATTATTATTGAGGGGGGGGGGATTCAGTACGTAGTCATCAGGTTACAGTGCCATCCTCTTGGTCGCAAATTCTACCACTACAACGCGTTTGTGTTCTTTCGAGAAAGATTGGTAAAGTACAATACATAAAGCGATTTTTCTTTGTACTAACGGTAATCGGTGACAATTTAATGGGAAATACCGTGAATTAGATTCTACGCTTGATATTTTCCCACAAATTTCTTTTGACTGAGTAATTAAGAGAGTCTGTGATCGAAAATACCTTTCATTGACTGACAAGACCAGCTCTGTGGACTTAGGGGTAGTGATTTGGATACAAACCTGCCGAGGAAAGTATGTCTGGGTTTTCTACGTGCTAGGTTTGGAGGACCAAGTGTGAGTCTAGTGGTACACGCATCATACTTTTCGGGGTTGCGTCTAATCTGTGGTTGCAGTGACCGCGGTCGGCGTGGGGACGGTTGTGTGCAAGTACCCTTCCACCCCCACTCAGCATATAACGGGAACCAGCTTTTTCCTCCACCATGAAACAATGTAAAATGAAACGTGTTCCCCTCTTGTGAAATAGTCATGCAGTCAAAGCCTTGCATTGGTCGAAACTACCAAAAATGGGATACCCCCCCCCACTCCAGGATAGTTATCACCTGTATGATAGCCTCAAATTGATCCCCTCGATGTGCCAATTCTGCGGTGTGGCGAAACGAACGTGGTGGGAATCCACATTGATGTTCACGTATGTGTTACATGGTCACATTTCGTGGAATGTAAGTATTCGGAGAGAGAAAAAATGAAAGTGCAGTTACACAGTTACACGTTAAACATGGGGTTAGTAACTCAGATGAATTTTTCGTTGGCCCCCTTTTTGTCTGGCTTTAAAAGTGCTTAAACAGTACCAGTCGGTGTGTACCTTCTTGCTTTGGGCACCCGGAACTTCATTGTGTGTCTCGTTTTAGTGGAGCGACCCAGACGATAAACCACTGAAGAGTTCGTTCGGCGTCATTCGGTGAAAAGAACATGGGATTGGGTACCCCTCCCCCCCTTACCGCCCCAAACAGGCTTCATTTCTTGTTAGGCTGTTTGATTACGGTTAATGGAGTGGATCTGAGGTGAGTAAAACTCAAAGTTTCACAACAAGGTGAACACATCTGATAACTGAAGTAATGATACTCAACTAATCCAATGCTAATACGGGAATGTATCCAATGTTGATTGTAGTGAGAATTCAAACTCTGCTGCAGCTCACTCGCATCAGACGGCACGTGACTGCTAGGCCTACTATCGATTTCACCATTATTGACAGACCCGATGTGATTATCGATCTGTATTTCAAATGTTGGCCCCGTAAATCGTTTTGACACAATTACAGTCAACCCCTTCCAGTTCAGTGACTTGTGTTCTTCGCAAACCAGGAGCGTACAGTTACAACATTCGTTCACTGGCACATGCATGTGCGATACAAGTAGATAAATGACCCTATAAATGATTGCGAGGTAGGCATACAGAGCAAGAGATGACAACCGAGAATCCGGCAATGTGCATCCCGGACAAATTTGGTCTAGTCATTCAAATACTACTCATCGTATATGCATACGTAAATAACGGCCCTAACAAGAGTGAATGAATGCAATCATTCGCGAGCTATCGATTGATCAGTTTCGATTCCACTTGCTTTTGACTTATTGTGTATTGTGTATTGTGTATTGTGGGTCAGTTCACTGAGCTCCGCAATGTTTTACATGAACCAAAAATATTCTACGAAGCTGGCGGTATTCAATGGTACATCAAAAACATCTAGCTACCAGCATAATTTAGCCTGATGTGATGTTGGTGATAGTTACGCGAGAGTTTGGGTAGATGTGTGATGTGAACTGGAACGAACCGATAGCACGAAAGCAACCGAACTGCCTTATATATAAGTAGGTTATTTCCGAATCTCCCTCCCTCCGCATCTGGAGGAGCGCCGCGTGCAAACATGCATCCAGACACAATTAATATCAGCCGTCATTTCAATCCTATTTCTCTGAGTGTACCTGTTCGGCGGTTTCAGTTGCTAAGTGAATTCGTTCAAACCACGTAAACCAACAGTAAAATGCCAGTCGGTCGGATTCTCTCCTCCGGTCCGTCTCTCTAACCCCGGGTGGGCAAATAGCCGACACCGGACAGCCGTGACCTTAGCGTGATCAGCATGTACGCTTACCCGTTTGCATACACTTGGGTTATTGTTGAAAGGACTCCAAGCTGGTGTGCGCGCACGACAAACATTGATGTGGGTGATTGTGTTCGGATACTGTGCGGTTTGGATCTTTGAGTGACCCACTATGCACCTAATGGTGACCTCCTGCTGGTTCCCGTGTCCACGGAGTGGTTGGATAGTACAAAATCTATACTACGATTATGTGTGTGTGTGTGTGTGTGTGTGTGTGAAAAGTGCGCACGTGGTGATGGGCATGTACGAGAACTGCAATCTGTCCGAACTCGCATCCAAACGTCCCGGCTGTGCGGGTAGGCAAGATCAAGGAAAACACACGTTAAGAAGTTGCGTATCGCCACTGGGCAACTGGAAAGGGGTTAAGAGTGTATATTTCTTCGGTAATTGTTCACCAAGTAATTTGCTACCTTAGTTCTCGTACACATACACGGGGGGGTGGGTGCCCCTTTGCCTCGAAAAACATGCACATACAAACGTCTATCTCGCGAATGATAACAAACAGTCCAACGCGCACACTCTCAACTGATACTATCGGGACATAGTTGGTTTTGTACGCGGAAAGAGTTCAGCAAATTGTTGAGATTGTTTTCTAATTAAAAAGTACATCAGTTTCCTTGAAAAAAATTGCACTATTGAATTACATATTAGCTCGAGGAGGGACGGGTCAACGTACTTGCAGTTGCCTACTTCGGGCACAAAATTGTTTCCACTTGTGGCCGTATCATTTGGATCACATCAGAGTCCACCCTCCTTCCCGGTAAATAAAGATAAGCATGGGAGTAGCTTACGGCAACCGTCTGCCGTTATTTCTTGCCACGTTGTGGCGAAACGCAGTAACTGACCACG